TGACAAATCTGCGCGATTGTACTTAACATTAAAATACTCTTTTGTGTAAAGATATATAAGAATAATATTTGTTTTTTCTTAAAGCTAAAGGATGTGACTATTATATAATGTACCCAATATTATACATAATATTGCGTACATTTTTTTTTTTTTACAATCTATTTTGGATGTTACTTTGTTCCCCGGTCTCCCCTACTTTGCAAAAACGAATTTTTTTCTTACTTGTTCCTCGTTGAGTTTCGTGCGATATTTGATGTTCAGCATTGCGTCGACTTGAAGAAGAATGCAAGCCTGTCCATTGCTGCTGTTCAGCCGATACAAAGGTTGCTCCGTGGAAAATATTTTGTGCGTGGTCGACGTGGACGACGGCACCACGATCGTAGTTGTTTTGAGTTCGTAATTGACTATCGGCTTGAAATAAACAACATCGTCATCGTTAATAATAAAATATAAGCTTTTAAATTGTGCAATTAATATGCTATAATCAAGGTTGGGTAGTGTCTAGTTAAAAAGATAAAAGTTAAGTTAAAAAGTTAAAGAGTTAAATAATTTTAACTTTATCTAGTTACATTTTTAGACTCTTATCTTTTAACTTTACTTAGTTATATTTTATCGGTAACTAGTAACTTTTTATTTCAACTCTCTTGAATCTACTATAGCCATAAGATTTTTTATTTGTTTGCATAGAAAACGGAACATATTTCTCGTCGTATGATCATAATTAATTTTACATGTTTATAGGCCAAAAAATTCGACCAATCACAAAGCTCAGAATGATTCGTTTTACATGCGAATAAATTCGTACATGTTCGAGAATTGAGCCAATAAAAACGCTGGTCGTAAAATCTAACGCAATATAATTTATAATAAAATATATAAAGTATATCTCTAAATAAAGTGTACATTTATTTTTTCCATTATATGTAAGATTAAAACACTGTAAATGTTTGTAATTATTTGTAAGACTAAAACACTAAAATCATGAAAAAAATTTTAACTTTTAACTTGTTAATTATTTTTTTTATTAACTTAACTTTTAATCAATTAATTTCATTATGGATTAACTTATATCTTAAGTAAATAAAATTTTTAAGACCTTTAACTGTAACTTAACTTAAATAAAAAAAAATTTAACTTACCCAACCTTGGCTATAATTAAGTTTTAAGTATAACAATAATATAAAATATCAAGATATCAAAGAGAGAGCGCGTACGTGCGATATCGTTTTTAGAAAAGTGTTTTTGTCAAAAGGTAAATGGCTGGGCTAACTAAATTCACCGCAATTAACAATTACATTTTTGTGGTGTTTTGTAGAGTCGTTGTTGTTGTGGAAAGTTCCGTGGTAGAAAGACTTTTCACTGATAGACGACTGACCTTTTATACAAGAATATTTATTGAAGCAACGTAAACACACACACACACACACACACACAACGTGTTTAATAGCGAGTTTTTCTTGTATACCAAGAAAAGATAAAATAAAGTCAATGTCATGTGCCAATGTCAAGCCAGTATAACGCATGTGTACACATATATATCCGAAATTATTACAAGAAGAAAATAAAAATGAGAACAGATAATATAAGTTAAGGCGGCGCGAATTTACAGATGCGATAATAATGAAAATCAACAATTGCCATAAGCTCGCGAGAAGATGAAATAAATAAATATCGAAACAGATGCGAGCCGAAAAAACATGTTGCGTGTTTTTTATTTAATATAAAAACCCGGTAAAAACGTTTCGATCCCTTTTTTTTTGGATATTCTTCAATGCACACAACTAATGTACACAAAAAAAAAAACAGAAAATAAACAGCACGCACAAAACAATAAAAAAAATATAAGAAAAAATTGACAGGCTCAGAAAATTATGAATAAACAATAAAGAGACCTTACAGCCTGAAAGATTCCACGGAAGGAAGTGGTAATATTGTTATATTTGATTAATCATTATCTTCTTTTATATTAATTTGTAATTTTGTTGTTAAAACAGCTGAAGATGATCTAAAATAAATGATCGAAACGTCCAAAACTATCAATATATAAATTATCGCATTACCAATTCCTTCCGTGGATCTTTCAGGCTGTAAGGTCTCTTTACTGGATATTTAATATAAAAAAAAAAAAACAAATAATGAAATGGATTTTATTAACATAATTGAAACAATAAGTCGCAAGTTGATGACAGCGCATTTGTTGTAAAAAAAACATACCTATATATATTGTGATCTTGTGAAGTACATTTTGTTGCTTCTGACGTTTTACCGGTGTTATTCTTTTAACCGAACGGAGCGACGGAATTATTGCTTTGCGTATAACAAATGTACTGTTGTCAACTTGTAAATTGTTATTTCTCAATTAGGTATATTATGAATTGAAAACGTGTTGTTTTATTAATGAAAAATGTCTTATTACACGACGTGGGAAAACTTGTCACGTAATGACGTCACATTTAATACACTTCCGCTGAAATATCAAGGATTAATAACAAAGAGCTATCAGATGCTATAAAAGTCCGACCGATTAATGAGGTCAACGAATTCTTCGTAAAAAAACAGAACTATAGTCGTAAGTATGTGTACAGAGTATATGTATAGTATACCGAATATATATAGCATAACAGGGTATATATATAGGCTAAGCTGTAAATAAAGAAATTACGTGAAAAAAAGTCGTAACTTTATATAGTACATTAGAGTCTGAAACATTTAAGAAAACCATTATCTGGACGTTAATGCAAACAATTTAAGCTGCTGACGTGCTTAAAACTTTGTCGCTCGTTTGCAGAACGGCAACATGCACTTATATATATATATATATATATATATATATATATATGTCGTGATATTGCAACGT